CGCCGGACGAGATGCGAAAGTGATAATACAAATATGATGGAGTCCATAAAAAGTGAGTGGGCCAACGGTGGGAAAGTGTCTGTGCGGCGGCGCTCGGGGAATCCAGTTCGTGACTTTTGGTGGGAGTGTGGGTGGATATAATGGTTATAAATGTTCTATTTATAAAAATACAAAGAACTCTAAGGGAATGTATTCCAAAAGTAAGTGGGTAATGCAAGATTTTAACGGATAAGTAACTTGTATTTTTATAAGACGAAAATTCAGAGATAACTTTTGCTTCATAGAAGATCTTAAAATGTTTTAATTAGTGCGAGATTTAATACCTCACCTTCCTCATTTTCTAGTTTTTTTATTAAAAAACTGAATGAAGAGTTTCTGTGTTGGAAGCGAAACATTCTACCCTTCTGTGTTTATATTCAAAAGGTAACCCTTTACAAATGAATAACCCTTTTATGTTTAAATACCTAACACATTCAGCTTATTACCCAACAACTTACATGAGTCTATTAAACCCATTGCCATTGCCACTACTATCATCATGACAATCATCATCATAATCATCATCATAGTCACCGCTGTGGACCGATGCTATGGAGCAGCCTAGACCCAATCATCAGGAGCAAGAACAAAGGCAAAAAAATCGATTTCATTCATACGCAATTGCGTTGAAATCTGTCAATGACACGTCCTCGTTGCCCCACCCAGCCCTTTGCCACCACCCACCAAAGAGGTGGGTCCACCAACTAACCACCCCGGATCCTCAGATCCACTCTCCTCCCCCTCCTCGTTCAGTTCCTCTAGCAATATCTCTGTCAGTGACAGACATAGTCCCAAATCGCTTGCATTGAAACTGGTAGCACCTGCACGGTGGATTACAGAGAGAGAAAATGTTTAAAATTCAAAATTGATCAAGTTTTCGAGATCCTTTATCCTCTTGGTTTTAATTACCAAATACTTATGTCAGTTAGGAATTTTTAAAATTTGTATTTTAATTGATATATATTTCTCTCTGTGTAGACTTCAGGTTGTGTCTGCCTGAAATGATAGAGGAAAAGGGCAGGCTGGGCGCACACTCATCACGGCCATTGACAAGTAGCTGTCAGGCAGAAGGGTCAAGGGGGAGAGGCACTGGACCGCTTTTTGACACAAGTAACGTGGCTGGAACCCTTCCTCCTCCTCCCCCCACACCACACCCAAGGGGGTGTGGCTGCTGTATCTGTATCTGTGAGATACCTTGGGCAAGGTGAACACGCATCACAATGTGCCAAATCAAGCACAAAAATCCAATATCCTGCAATGAAATACAATTACACGGTGCACACCAACTCGATTTGGCCCGGCCAAGTCGCTAATAATTCTGGCTTCACCGCCACCGTAATTGGCACGAGCGGCAAAAGGTGATTGCTGTGTGAGTGCGTGATTTTTCTCGCAGTGCAGGGCCTTGCATTGATTGTTACATGATGAAGTGCTATCGATGTCTGTTTCGTTTGACTGATTCCCATTTTCGAGGGAAAAACGAGCGCAGCCCTCGAAGGGACCTCTGTGTGTGTGTGGTGTATCTGTGTGCGTGTAGGTAAGCAAGTGTGCGAGTGTATCTATGTGGGCTTGGAATTTAAGGCCGGGTACTGCAAGTGCCGCCCAAGTCTTTTAAAGTGTAAGACGACGGGGCCTGACATTCAAATCTCTGCTGCCCCCCTGCCCCTCGATGACTTCACACATTCCTGACCCAACAAAGAAAGAGAGGGGACTATTAAGAAAGAGAGATAGGTAGAGTCAGAGAGAGCAAGAACTTCCTTGAAAACCCCCTGTCTAAGCCAAGTGAAGAACTTTAAACGTCGAACCAGTTTTTGGTGAATGAAAATCAACAAACCAAAAAGTTGCACAAACTCCAAAAGAAGCTGAAGAAACCCAAAGACTCTGCAGAAGAAGGAGCAAGGATGGAGTGGCGCAGAGGGGGAGGGGCAGAAAGAGCCTGCCAGGCTAAAATATAATAAAAAGAAATTAAAATAAAATTCAAAAATGTGCAAAACGAGACCGAGACCAAGAACGAGAAATGCTGCATGCCGAGAAAGAGAGAGAGGTAGAAGAATCTCCATGGAACCTGTTGGACCAGTCACAGCTACACACACACACACACACATGCACTCGAGGGAAAATGCCACCAACGTGTTTGTGCCACAGGATAAAAGGCAAGCCGGGGCTGGCTTGTTCGCTCGCCGTCTCTTTCGGGAGGATTTCAAGTGTAAAACGCTGTCGCTTGTGGAATGCGCACACACATACGAGATGGGATGGTCTTGGCCAGGCCAATGCATAGATAGCCGCTAACAAATCAAGCGTTTAAACGAAACTCGAGCTCTCATATTTGCTTTTTTTGGCCAACCGATCGGAGGTAGCCATAATTTATAGATGCCGTTTGACTAAATGCGTTTAATTTCAGTCCAACACAAGCACACACACGCTATGTATATATGTAGGTGTGTGCATACCTTTACTACCTTTACCTGTAAAAGGGTTTCGGTTTCGGTTTCGGTTTCGGTTTCTTTGGTACCTCCGCTCTCATCATCATCGATCGCTCCGTAGCTTCGTACATTATAATTTATAACTTTATCTAAACGATGTGGTGGTGTTTAATTTTCGACCTCACCTTTTCCAGCTCCATCTACAGCTCGTTTTTGTTTTTCGATTTTGATTCTGTTTCTTGGGTTTTTTCGCCATCCCATCATCATCATCATCATCATCATTGAGGGTTCTGATGTGGATTCGTTTCATTGGAGAACTGTTTCCGCTTCGCATGACTCACTTTTCGCTGTTAACCCGCGGTCTTTGGATCTTTTTCTTCCTTCTTTATTTTACTTTATTTTTTGGGAGGTCTTTCTTTATCGCACACTAATTTGAATAGGATTCCATTTCGTGATGAACATATCACCGGAGAGGCAGGCAGGCAGGCAGCTTGGTTGGGAGGGCGTTTACGCCCAGCTGGAGACCCGCAACTGACCACCATGAAGTCCGCCCCGGCATAGTATCTTGTTAATGAAGAAATAGATACCCAGAGTGCTCAGGTATTTAAGATCGAGGTCGGTGCCCGCGGGGGTGACGAGTGAAAGTCTGAAAGAGAGTCGTGCATTGTCTGCCACACCGCTGCAGCCTCAACACCCAACAATTGCCTGGGTCTGCCTGGGTTTGGAATCGCAAATCGCAACGAGAAGAAATCCCATAAAATACAAAAACTCAAACTCAAAAAAATAGAGATACAAACACACGTGCTGAGCGAGGTCATGACACGGCAATCCATTTAAATACACTTGGAGAAGTTGGTTACTGGAAAGATCAAGCCACAATGTGTAGGTCTTAAGTCCCTATTATACTAGTTGTTTAAAATTGGAATGAAACAAGTCTTAGTTTCAATTTCCAAGGTACTTCATTTGGTTAAAAGTTGTCCTTTTATCGAGATAACCAAGCCACCTCTTTGGCTTTGCCAAGTGTACAACTTCTAAGAGCCAGGAAAATCGGTTAACTCCACAAAGCTTCTTCGATAAAAGGTGTGAAATCCGAGCTAGCTCCACGGGTTCATTAAACCGATCGTAAAAGACAGCCAATGAAATAAAATTAGAACTCATTCAGACATCAATTAGAAGCGAGCATGCAAATTTTTCCAGCGGCAACGATGAAAGCCTGGAAACAAGCTCGAAGCTGGACTCGAATCAAAGAACCCGAGAACGCCACTTTGAGATGGATTGATTTACGTTGAATATGCAAATTGCATCGAGCCACCGTTGAAAGCTTTTAGAGGAGCATTTCGGGAATTTGAATAAATATTTAAGGCAACTAGCCAGGGAAAAACAATAATCAAGCCTGCCACTACTAACTGGTGATGATTCACAGGTGGCAGGAAGACTTGAATGTTTGACTGGAAAGAATGTCGGATTTTTTAAATATAACCCATAATTAAAAGTGATAAATGATTTTAGGGCTAAACAGGATATCCGAGCATCTAAGCGGGATGGATTTGCCATATTTACAATCGCTTTGAACTTTCGGAGAAAACAAGATTATATTTAATAAATTACATGCAAACTTATAATGCATTATATAAACTAAACTTTTAATCTTTTTGAGATGTTTCTCAAGAAAATTATGCGGAAAATGTCAAGAATATAATTTAAAAAGAAAGATTATGCACTTGTTTAATCCATCAAGAAAATATAAATAAATCTTTTGAGTAGTCAGATTACTTTTAGCAATATTCTTTTCATTTTATAAAGAAAATTAATATTAAATTTGCAATAATGTAAATGAAAATGAATTTAAGATATAAAAATAAATAAGTATAAGCAGTCTACTTTAAATAATTTTTTATACATTTATTCGCACTTCACATAATAAATATTAACTATTTTTATCATTTCGATTAGTAAATATGAAAAATGTATCTGTAATATCTTGTATTAATTCCTTAAGGTTTGATTTAATTTTACTCTTTTAAGTAATATTTATATAATAGTACTTTTAAATTAGAACGCCAGTCACAAAATTATTAACTTAATAAATTTATAGAAATATCTTAATATTAACATTTCATTTTCTTAATATTTTAATATTATATGATTTAATTCATTGTGTAATATTTTGGTATTTGAAAAATATATGACTCTTGTATGCGTGATAAGATGATAATGAACATAGAAGTTAACTTATTTTTATAGATTTTTCCAGTAAGATTTATTAAGTAGTTCACTCTACACCATTGTTCATAACACAATCAATTCGAACACCCCATCAGAGCATGTTGAACCACTGTGCCAACATCTGATTTCACTCTCTCTCTCGCTCTCGGCAAATGCGAGGGCGTTCGGCCGGCTCTCTTAGCGCCGACATGCAGCCGAAGCCAACACGAGGGCTGTCGGCTCTCAAGAGCGGCGCTTCGTGCGCTCACGGGGCGGATGGTTGATGTCGATGGCGACGTTGTGCGATACCCTTGTGCTTCAAACTGTTCGGTTCGCTCGTCGTGGAAGGTTCGTTGCGCGCGCGGAAAATCTTGGGAAATTCGAGGCGAAATTCGCCAAATATTACGAGTGCGAGGTGCGAGTGCATTTCCTCGGAGTGTGAACGCCGCCGGTGGCTAAAGTATCGCGAAATCTAAAAATACAAAAGCAATAGGGAAACGCAATAGAAACAGAGGCCAATCCAATCGCTTGCATATCAATTGTCTAGGGAATTGAGTACTGCTTACTCTGTTACATGGTTATGTCATGGAAAGTCACCGTCTGAGTGCTCTCCTCGAATAAATACCCCTTCGAAAGCGGCGAAATATTGTCCGCAGAATAAGAAAAAATAAAATTATTAGCAAAACTGCCTCAAAAGTGCTGCCCACTCTCGCCGCCGGCTGCTTTTTTGGCTCACGTTTACTACCACTTTTATTGCTCACGCGTGTTTTTGGGGCCTTTTGTTTTGGTGCTTGTGTGTGCGCGAGTGTGCTAGCTGTGCCTGTGTGTGTGTTCGCCGTGTGTGCGTGTCTGTGTTAGCCGGCAAGTGCAGCTGTGAGTGTGTTGGTTGTTGGCCGCGAACAGCTGTTCCGCAGACAACATGCAGAAATAAGTAAAAAATACAAAGAGCAAAAATACAACGTGAAAAAATATACAAGCGAAGTTGGGTGAAAATCACAGCAAATCACGAGAGCCCGTGCCGCAGAATCCATCCATTCTCATCCATCGAAAATGGCGGCCAGGATGCAGATGCTCCTGCTATTGACCCTGCTCTGCGGCCTCGCTGCCGCCAAGCATCTGGGCGACCTGGAGGCTGGCGGCGGAGCAGTAGGTGGCCTCCACCACCACCAGCACCATCAGCACAGCGCCTCCACGCACCACCGGCGACGCCTGCAGCGGGACTCGCGGGCAAAGGATGCCACATCGGCGTCGCTGGGAACGGCGCATCAGTGCGAGGCCGTCAAGAGTTACTTCGAATCGATCGACATCAAGTCGAGTGGATTCCACAACGAGAAAGGTAACGTAAAGTTCACACATTGCCATGATACACCCGGTACTCGACCCCCTTGCGGAAACATGACAAGCTAGAAATTGCCGATGAGAATTACAGCAGAAGATAGTCTTGGGTCTTGGTGTGAGATAAGTTCCCATAATCCAAGTCTTGCAAATGAAATTCTCAGAGGTTTACTTGGTATTTTAATAGGTAACAGTTTTCCAATACTTTCTCAATTCTTTCACTTTTCAAATACTTCCTCAATTCTTGTAGTTATTAAATATTAATCAAAAATAATTGATTAGAAATTCAGGGATAATGCGGTAACTTAAGTCAGAGCAAGAACTGTCTTAATAACTCTAAGTTTAAATTCAAAAGTTTTTAAACGATAGATTACCTACAAAATAATTAGCTTCGTGTGTAATTCTTATTCGTTTTTTATTGGTTTCTTTAAACTAATAATTTTAAACAATTTTTAAATGTAATACTTGCTACAACATAATTAAAAGTCATGTTACAATAAGAATTTCCCAACCATGTAAGAACATGGTACAATGTACTCTGCTCTCTATGATCTTATTCTTAAGCGGAAAATTCTCACAATTAAGGTCTAACAATGGAAAATTCTCACAAGTCAACTGTATATTATACTAATATTAATACTAATACAGATTATAACTACTTTTTATAAAACTCATAAACTTCAGGTTTAAAATATGACATTTTATTTGTTAAACCTCCCGGTTCGGATCAACCTTCCATGCCGTAATATGCTTTTATTAATTGGAAATTAAAATATTTGTGATTAACACAAGTTTAAATACATTTTAAAATATGTAGTTATTTAACAAAATCTTAGTTTTAACGGGATTTAAAAAATCTAAAGAGCTTTGTCAAGAAAATTCAGTACAAAACTCGAGTCCTCGTAAATACTTCAATCAAGTAAATTGCGCGGCAGCCAAAGTTTTGGGCTTCCCGCAGATGCAATAGCTCTTCATTCCCATTCCCAATCCCCGCCAGAAACTAGAGGCATATGCAAATCCATTGAACTGACTGAGACTCGGAATGGGCATCCACTTGAGGAGAGGAGAGGCCAGGCCATGAGAACTATGACCACTCGAAGGCGAACCCAAAGGCCGGGCGCCGTTTGCAATTAGAAGAGCTGGGCGCGTTGAGCAACGCCTCGTCGAATCGAAAAGTTTTCGACTTGGACGCGGATAAAGTTTTGCAGAAACAGAGAGTGGCGCAGCCAGGTTCATTACATCTCGCAAAAGATGCAAAGATACATCTGTGGACGGGGAGATTGTATCTGTAACTGCTGCTGTGGCTGTGGCGGCGTCATTTGGTATTCTGATTTCTCGGCGGTGCCATATCAAGTGGCACGCATCTCCGAGCTCCAAACTGTGTGAAGGCTGCGTGTATTTATATCGATATCCATGAGATACAGATACGCGATGGCATATTTTTGTTTATGCATATTTCACACTCGAGTGCGGGCAAACCGAGTCACAAATATGTATATAGCCGAAAAAGCAAAGCAGAAAACGGAATGGGAAATCAGAAAACAAAATACGTCAAAACCAAACAAAAGATAAGATCACAAAACAGCCGAAAAAGAGCGAATGTATCGATGGAGAGTCGTGTAATTGAGTGAAAAATAATTATTATTGATTAACCGACCTTGACTCGGTATTTACGCGTTTACGCACAATTACATGATACACATCCAGGCACCGCCTGGCATACAAATGCGGCTCCGAATCGGAGTGTATCTGGTATCTGGCGATGATGTTGCAAGTTTGCCATGTGCAATAACAATGCTTACCTGTCTTGAGTCTCTCTCTCTCTCTCTTGTACCTTGTTTTTCCTCTTGCCGGTTCTTATTCTGGGTTCTCCTCTGCTGGTTCTTGGCCGTTCTTTCCCACACACGCAGGTAGGTAGTAGAGGTAGGCTGTTGGCTGCGAGAGGCATCTATGAGATACATTGCTGAGCCGCCCGCATTGCCGCATGGCCTCAAAGTGTGAAGAACCAACTGAAAGTTACAAGTGCATTTTCCCCGATTCTCTCTCTCTGTGTGTGTGTGTGAAGAAACACACACACAAGTCTTCCTTCCAACTGAATGCCCGCCCAATTGAGCTGCTGACGGCGATTGGAACTTGGAACTTGCAAGTTATTAGCGTTTGCCCCAAGGAATTTCAATTTGGCTAATGCCCGCACTTGTATCTCCGATCAGCACCTCTCTTTGGCTGTACACCTAAAGAAAAGTACTACGAATTGAGATAAAGAAAGCATGAGAAATTCAGGAAAAATTTAACCAAACATAAGTATATAATCAATATCAATTCATACAGCTAATGGGCTCATTATTTATTCTATATGTAAGTTAGGCCTGTATTCCGAAATCTAATATTTATGATACTTTTACCAAATGCATTAGACTTTTCTTCCTGTGCAGTTGGTGGCTGGTCGTTGCTCCTGCTTAAGTATGCCGAACTTTGTTTTCGACATTTATTTACTGTTTACATAGTTCCACTTGCGTCCACCGCCTCCGAGTTATTTATGCCCCGTACCGATGTACCAATGTAGCAATGTACCGGAGTATCTGTATCTGTATCCGCACTCTATCTGTATCTCCGGCCCCATCTTTCCATCTGTATCTGTATCTCTTTCTGTTTGCTCTGGCCGTGTGTGTGTTACTTTTACGTTTATGTGCTGTTTGTGATGCTAATCTCATGTCGGTGTCATGCATACGATAAATGTTTCTGCCTCGGTTCGGGGTTCGACGGGACTCCTCTGCAACGAGGAGGAGTAGTACCTTTGGAGGCGCTCGACATAAAATTAAATTTTAATTTAATTGCGCACACCGACCGACTGCTAATTGAGTTGCTCTCGACCAAGTGAAAAGCGAGAGCGGAGAATAAATTCGGAGCGGAGGAGCAAAAAAAACATACTTCGCGGCCATTAACATGAACATTAATGTTGGCGTTACAAAAGACCAACGAACGAGCGGACAGCGAACAGGAAGTCGTAGTTACAGTATCTAATCATATCGCACTGTATCTGTATCTGTGAGCGGAGTATCTGTATATCTTCGTACCTGCAAGGTGGGCTCGAGGGCCCCAGGCGTGTTACTAAATATTTAAGCAACTCGCAACAGAAATTAGAGCAAACTATGAGATATGAGCCCATGTATCCGCGTATCTCTATCTGCGCGCATAGATAAGTGAAAAGTGCAAATAGAGAAGGCAACGGCAAAGGCAAAGGCAACTACAAACGTGACTCGTTTGCAGCGGGGAAAACTGCTTGCCAAACAACTTTTTTCAAAACGGATTCATATGACGTGGGCGGTTCAGTTGATTCGCTGGGTTATGTCTTCATAAGGAGCTGGTGGCCCTAAAAAATTTTAATTAGCTCCGGGAAAAAGTGCACACAAACACTCCTCAACTGTGCCTGCAGGAAGACAGAGCTCAAAGCTCTGGTGGCGTTTGAATTTGCCAATTAAAAGTTCAAGTTCCATTCCGATCCATAGAACTCCACTTAAGGCTTAACTGCAGAGACATAAAGTCGGCTAGGCAAATTCATCAAATAAGTAGCTGAGGCCATCAAGCAGAACCAAAAACGATCTATAACATTTATGTCGAGCCGATCGTAAAGTTCGTCAGCGAAATTCCAAAGGCCCAAAAGAACCCGTTTCTCGTTTTGTTTAATTCATGAGATACATGTTGATTGTGTTTCGCTTTTGTCCGACATATCTGTTGGATAATTAAAAATTTATCTCTGTTCCAGTTGCAGTTCGGACGCCGGAGACGTTCCGTGTTTGTGTTCCTGAGCTACCCTTTCAGATCGATTCCCACCTCCAACCAGTCGAGCGCACAAACTTATCTCATCAATTAAGTTTTGAGTTCTTTTCAGTTGAATTTAATTGCTGCCGACTGCCTTCTGTCCACTCAACCTCTAACTCCGCACCAACGGCGATCAATTAAACTCTAAGCCAGACGAAATTCTTAATTGATTTGGTGCTGGACGAAAAACTAATTACGAGTGCGTTTTAAGTAGTTTACGAAGGTTTGGTCCAGCGGCTTAATGGCTAGAAATGAGTTTCCCTTCCACGCCCAGTGGGAAATTGAATTTAGTCGGGTTAATCGCCATTCATTCCGGCACGACTTTGTTTAATACTTTGGAAAAGTGGGAACGTGGGAATGGCTATCACAGAAGTCTGTATAAAAAGTCCAAGAGTCGATGAATCACTGTTGAAGATTTATTCAATATTTGACTTGAAATTACACTAAAACTAAGGTTTAAATGGCATCTATCAGAGCAAAGGTCGAAAATCTCGGAATATACTTTTCGACAAGAACAACATCCGTCAGTTATTGGCCCTAATAAAGACATCTAATCGCAGAATCGAGCTTAATTATTGATTAGATATAAAAAAGCCGCTTCCTACGCACTAGCTGTATCCATCATCAATCTTGGAGAAACATTTTATGCTACCATAAATTTAAACAAAACCCTATTCTGCTTTATGTCTAAAAGGGGTCCATCAACATTCCAATCTATTGCTAATATTACAACACACTTAAAGGGGCGAATAATAAAAGAACCAAAACCATTTTAGGTTTTTTATATATGCGCTAATTAGTTTCAATTAAAATTAATGACGCCTATGTGCTGGAGCGTATTCTGCCCATCGATTTCACACAACTGGAAGAGCAAAAAAAAAAAACAGACAGTGAAACAGAAAAATCTACTTTCTTAATGTTTGCTTTAATTTTGTGTTTTTACACATTTGACCTCAATACAAAAGGCAATTCGAGTGTGCCTCCGCTCGGTCTTCAGTCTTTAGTTTTCGGTTCTCAGTTTTTGGTTCTGTTCGAGTTCTGTTTAATTTCTGTTCGTTGTTTCGAAGGCAGAATGATGTCATTGATTGGCTTTCTTGCACGAGAATGTATCTGGGATTTCTCAGAGATCCATGGACCCACACAGATGTTGCCTGTCCGCTGCTCGTATTTAAATCGCTGGAATATCTCATCGTCGTCTCTAACTGCCATTCATTCTCAGGTGTGTATGTTTTCCGCTCCATTGAGGGAACAAAACGATTTCCAGGAACACTGCCTTCTCCATAATAAACCTGACCAGCGGAGTGGCAGTAGTGACAATTTTTTCGGTGTATCCATATCTCATTTTCATTCATGCCTCGAGTTTAGCTCGCTTTAGAACCTGTTTTGGGTGGGTTGTATGTTTCACTTACCAAAGGTCGCACATTTTAATTAGAATTAAGCCAAAGTGGTCGCAATTAAGTTAACATATTTCCAGCTTGTCCAGAGGAAGTTGTCAACGCGTTGTTGGCCCCTTCCGCCTGGACATGAACTCGTTCTGGGCCAGATAATGTTGATAATGCTGGTATGCATCGTCTCTCCGATAAGACGACGATAAGATATGGCTCGAATGCTAGCCAGGAATCGGCTCAATTATATATTTAGCGCTGGCCCCTTGTATCTGCTGGATGCGCCCCTGAGAGCCATAAAATGTGTGAAATTCGCCCAGGCACAGCAGCCCGGACAGGTAGTAGATACGTTTGTATCTCACGCTTTGTACCTGCCAGCAGCTATTTTTAAACATTCACAAGTGAATTCATCAAACAAACAAACAAACGCAAGCGGTTGCAGACGGCAATTGTATCTGTATCCGTGGCATGGTGCACAGTAAGAAAATAAAACGGGATTTTTGTAATAACTATGAATTTGGAAAATCTTCCATTGGGTTAAATTGAGTTGTCCTTAAGGAGACCTATTTCTCGCTGTGCGTTTGTATCTTTGAGGGGTTGGCGATACAATTTTCCACTCATTTTGACCGATTTGCTTTGGTCAATGCCTGGTGGCTTATGCAACCATGATGCAGCAGGACAGGGAGCAAAGTCAAAGCCGAATTCGCCGACGTCTTACTCACCGACACTTAACCCCTCGTATAGCAAACGGTTGTATCTTTCAGATACTCCCTCTGTGGAGTCTCCATCATCGACTCTTTAGGGCTGCTGCTGCTGCTGCTCGGGTTCATTGTTTGTCCATGTCTTTTGTGCCGCGTAATCGTTCTTTTCCAATGAACACCCAACGCACACTCGCTCTGGGCTTTTCTGTGGATGTGAGATACAAACGTCGCCGGAATCTTTAGTTTTTTGTGTGTTTTTGATTCATGGATGCCAGTGGCGTGTCTGTATATTTTGGATTGTTATGTTCACGGGAAAGGTAAAGGTTAATGCCTAGTGAAGTGTGCACAGCATCGGAATAGAACGCAGATTTAGATACCGATACCGAGGCAGATACAGATACAGATACATGGCCGACTAGTTGGCATTTCCGCTCCGAGTGGCGTTACCTTTGGCTCATAGTGCGTGTAATGGGATAAGTATCTGTTGGTAAACACTCTTGCCACTTTTTTTGTTACTTTGGCATACTATTTTGACAGCCTTCTGTTAAGATCTATCCATCCAACGATCCCCATCCCCATCTGAGCTCGCCTGCCATCCGTATCTCGTATTTACATTGCGCAATGTCCGAAGCGGCGCATAAATCAATTATTTGCACCTAAAGCCCATAAATCACTTTATGACGAGCAACAACAAAAGTCGAACATGGGACTGGTCAAAAGCAGGGACAGACGCAGGCATGAAAGGAATGAAAAGCCCTCCTCCACTGAGCCAAAAAGGCTAGCAAATTGCCTTAGTTGATTTTCTGACTTTCGGCAGTCTGTTTTATTCTTCTTTGGGACCTAAGTGCCTTGAAAGCCAGGCTAATATGGCGTTGGCGGTCTTCTTGTCTTGTTATCGCAGCCGCAAACAGCAACAAAATCCCCAATAAAAATATAAACACACGCAGAGGCATATGTGTGAATGATTTTTGGTTTTGTTTGAACCCAAAATGACTTGATTTGTTCTTGTGATTTTTTATTTTGTTTTCTTTTTTTCATGTTAGAGCTTTACCTAAGCCTGGCTTTTTCTTTGAGTATTTTGGCTTCATTCGCTGCGCTCCCTTTATTTTTTATTTTGTTCGCCTATTTGCTCGGCTCTTTATTCCTGTTTCCATTTGTTGTTGTACATTTATACGGTTTATTGACTTTGGCCACAGTTTCTTGAGTTCTTGGTTAGGTTCTTGGCATTTTTTATTTATTTATTTTTTTTTTTTTTGCACAATAAGCCGAAGTATAAACAAAAGTAGAAGTAAATGCAAACAATAACAAAAGTGTTAAATATGAGCCAGAAGAGTGGGATATATTGAATTATTAATAGGAGAAATGAGTTTGAAATGAAGGTCTTAGGAAGCTTTACTAACTTGTTTGGGGTTTTAAATAAATAAATTAAATTGAAATACATTTTATAAAGTAGGTAGAATTGATTACAAATAAGATTAGAGATTTCTAAAGAAATTTATGAGATATAAGAGGAGCATCTACGGAGCCCTTAGAGAGTGTTTCTGGAGAGACTTCTAAGCAGGAAACTAGAACTAAAATCTAATAAACATTTGAGGAGGAAGTATAACATTTTCTGGATATCTGTACCGCTTATCTACTTACTCTTAAACAGTTACATTTAACTTATACAAGGTTTTAAACTAAAGTAAAAGTAAAAGAACTAACCTAAGACTGATCCTTAATATATTTTATTCATTATAAAAGCCCCTCCAACCAAGGCCTCGTGCAAATTACATAAAATTATCACACTTTAGTTTGAATTTTTAGTATGTGACTATAAGTTTTAACACTCAAATTTGCACTCTCCGATGATTGACTAATTTCCTAAATCTATTTGCTCTTCTCCATTTGCAGGTGCGTATTCCGAGCTGAATGTGAGAGTAAATATGAACTGTTATCTGCACAAATGTTTGCATTTTGCTGGACAAACAGCAGTATTATTGGTATATAGATATCGGGTATCTGTATCTGTACCTGTATCTGTAGCGGTAAGTTGGAGAAGATAACGCCCTCGCATTTGAAGTCGACTATAGTAGACAGCTTGGCGATGCGACCCGTGGCGAATTATAATTTCGGCAACCGAATCCGTGTTTGTTTTAGATGAGTTAACCCCACCGCGAGATCATCAATCATTTATGATTAAATGCGCGACTCAACGCCAACGCCAGCGACTAACTAAAGGCCAAAAACAAAGGCTACTCAAAAAGGCAGCGAAAAAAATTCCCCCCCTACATAGAAATCCACCAAATATGAATATAAATGCGCCTCTGAATTATAAATGTGAGCCGAGCTGAGCCTGAGCCTGAGCTCGGTTTCGCTAGAACAGTAGGAAAATTTAATAAAAACGCGACACTGGGGCGAGGGGAGACTACGCTCTTCCACTCTTCCACTTTTGTCTGCAACTCGATGCCACCGTCAGCCGCCATTCACTTTTCGTTATTAATATTTTTTCTTTTCGGTTAAAATTATGCTAATCCGTTGAAATATGATTATGCCGAATGACAACGGTGCGGCGGGGGCGTGGTCCGTCGGTGTGACGGCAGGGGCGGATCGGTCACATATATATACATATATGTTATGTCGGCAGGTGTGTCCATTAAAATGAGGGCTGGGTACTGTGGGTTCTGTGCATAATTTGATTGCCTTTCGCAGCTAATTTCATTTCAAACTCAAACTCAAACCGAACCCAGAGTGAGCACTCTCGTCTAATTAAATACATGACGGAAATTTTCATATTAAATCATTTGCAAGTTCAAAACAGAGAGATCTCCCAGAACGAGAGGCGCCCAGGCGAAACTTTTTCAATTAAAGGAAAGCCGACCTTCAAAGCAAACAAATTTTGAAAATGAAATTGCAGGCGAAAAAGTAATTTAATTAGCTTAACCCAAATAGGAATAAACAAAAAGAAACGAAACCGAATCAGAGACGACGAGTCCTAGCCTCGCCTCCAGTTTCCCTTCCTTTGAGTATTCCTTCTCTGTTGGAAAAGTCGGAATCGAAAGGGTTGTCGCGTGCTTTTTTTGGCCAAGAAAGTTTCACTTCTTCGTCTTCGTGCCAGTCGCCAAAGTTGGAGGCGCCAAATACAAAAGTAATGGCAAAGGCAAACGGCGCCTAAAAGCTATGCAAATTGGAACTGGAACTCGAGGCGTTTTGGCCAAGTGTTTGCTTCCGTCATCTGCAAATGAATTTTTTAAATTTGATTTAAAAGGAATGGAATGGGAAATGCATAGGTTATAGGATTTGTAGTTCAAATCGTAAAAAGTAAAACTAGAATGCTTGAATATGCCTACGATCCATATGTCACCAAAATCTATCGTTAAGATTTGGCATAGTTTCCTATTTTCAGCATTTTTCCGGCAGCCACTTTCTCAAAATTCACATCAACAATGTCCGGCAAACTGTTCAATGCCACCGTATGTCCTGGTAATCGGAAGATCCTTTGTTTGGTGGAAGAGGCCACAAGGCCGCTCTGCAACACCTGGCGGCATGGCAAGGATCGGGAGATCTCGTCCAGTCAGCCAACTTCCAAAATCCGGCGCTGTCTTTATTCGGATTCTTCAGGAAATCCCTTCCGAAAGCATCATCACTTTGTTCTCAGAAAGAAGGATGCGTATTCTATGAATCTACGACAAGGATTATTCACTTTAAGAAACTTTGGAAGCTCAACAAATGATGGAAATTTAGGTGATCCACCTGATGCGTATACGCAGGTGGAATGTCGTGTGGGAAAGGGTATACGGTTTCCCATAGGATCACGTACAGACAATTCTCAAATAGGATTAGTTGAAATCACGAAAAAAGAAGCTCAGGATAAATCTCAGCCATCGACTCCAGTTCCTTCTGTGGATCCAGGAACTCCAATAGCCTCGGATGATTCCTCCATAGATGGAGAGGATGAGTGGCGGAGAATTATGAAAAGGTTGAAAAAAGAACATTCAAACGGCAAAGAAAACATTGTGGGGGCTATCGGGAGTTCAGACATGGGGCAAGATGATGACAAGATATCGGAGGATATAATGGGAAAAAAGTCGAATCCACCAGAAGAAAGCAAAACCATTGGAGATAAATCCTCTGGAGGCAAGTCCCCAGGTGATAAGTCTTCAGGAGAGAAACCCCCTAATGTAGTACCAACCAAACCGCCAACAGAACCTAAGCCACCTTCAAGGTCTGGTAGTGTAACTAATCAGCCACCTACAGGACCCATGCCACCTGCAGGACCAACAAAACCTCCAACAGATCCTAAGCCACCTTCAAGGTCTGGCGGAATTACTAATCAACCCACAGGACCCAATCCACCTGCAGGACCAACAAAACCGCCAACAGAACCTAAGCCACCTTCAAGGACTGGCGGAGTTACTAATCAGCCACCTACAGGACCCATGCCACCTGCAGGACCAACAAAACCGCCAACAGAACCTAAGCCACCTTCAAGGTCTGGCGGAATTACTAATCAACCCACAGGACCCAATCCACCTGCAGGACCAACAAAACCTCCAACAGAACCTAAGCCACCATCTAGGTCTGGTGGAGTTACTAATCAGCCACCTACAGGACCCATGCCACCTGCAGGACCAACAAAACCTCCAACAGATCCTAAGCCACCTTCAAGGTCTGGCGGAATTACTAATCAACCCACAGGACCCAGTCCACCTGCAGGACCAACAAAACCGCCAACAGAACCTAAGCCACCTTCAAGGACTGGCGGAGTTACTAATCAGCCACCTACAGGACCCATGCCACCTGCTGGACCAACAAAACCTCCAACAGAACCTAAGCCACCTTCAAGGACTGGCGGAGTTACTAATCAGCCACCTACAGGACCCATGCCACCTGCTGGACCAACAAAACCTCCAACAGAACCTAAGCCACCTTCAAGGTCTGGCGGAGTTACTAATCAACCTACAGGACCCATGCCACCTGCAGGACCTACATCACCCTCAAAATCGGCTAAAAGCCCAAACAAGCCCTCTAGTGCCACACAAATACCGACCAACAAAGCTCCGTCTAAGCAGCCACCAGCGCCTCCTACTAAACCGACAACTGGAACTGCTCCGAGTAAACCACCAACAGGAGATAAGTCTCCTTCGCAAGGGTCTCCTCCGAAAGGACCTCCTCCTGGTAAGCAACCAGCAGGGAAAACGCCACCTCCAAAAGGACCTTCTCCTGGGAAGCCAGCAGCAGGGAAAACGACTCCTCCCAAGCAGCCTGCTCCTAGTAAGCCACCAACAGGAAAGACGCCTCCCCCGAAAGGACCTCCTCCTGGTAAGCCACCAACTGGAAAGACGCCTCCCCCGAAAGGGCCTTCTCCTGGTAAGCCACCAGCAGGAACCACGCCCCCTACAAAGGCTGGTGGCAAGAATCCTGGGAAAGGCGGAGCAGGGGACAAATCCACCGGTGGACAGGGTGCTGATAACAAACGCATCATTACTCTGATGCCAGGCGATGGCATTGGTCCGGAGATCTCGATGGCTGTCATCAAGATTCTTGAAGCGGCAGGGGCGCCGTTGATCTTCGAGCCCGTCGACGTTACGCCGGTGATCAATAAAGATGGTCAGACGACGGTGCCAGAGGAGGTGATCGAGAGTATGAACCGAACCAAGGTCGGTCTGAAGGGTCCCCTGATGACCCCGGTGGGCACTGGTTTCCGCTCCCTGAACCTCACGCTGCGCCAACTGTTCAACCTGTACGCCAACGTCCGACCCTGCCGCTCGCTGCCCGGCGCAGAAACGGTCTACGGAGACGTAGACATTATCACCATTCGGGAGAACACCGAGGGCGAGTACTCGGGCATCGAGCACACCCTGGTCAATGGGGTGGTGCAGAGCATCAAGCTGATCACCCGCCAGGCCTCGCTCCGTGTGGCAGAGTATGCCTTCCAGTACGCACTGGCCATGAAGCGCAAGAAGGTGACCGTGGTGGCCGAGAAGCATGTGATGCGGATGTCCGATGGCCTCTTCCTGCGATGCGTTCACGAAATGGCCGCCAAGTACAAGAGCAAGCTGGACGAGGCGGGCATAGTGTACGAGGAGATCAATATGACCACCTTGTGCCTCAAACTTGTCATCGATCCCAAGCAGTATGATATGCTGGTGCTGCCCAACCTGTACGGAGACATCATCTCGGACACGTGCGCCGGACTGATCGGTGGACTGGGACTGACGCCATCCGGTAATGTGGGCGAGTCTGGCGCCATCTTCGAGTCGGTGCACGGCACCGCTCCGGATATCGCCGGCAAAGACATTGCCAATCCCACGGCCCTGCTGCTCTCCTCCGTGATGATGCTGCACTACATCGGGCTGCACGAACAGGCGGACAAAATAGAGAAGGCGATACTGAAGACCATCAGTGAGGACAACATCCGCACCGTGGACCTGGGTGGCAAAGCCAAGTGTTCGGAGTATACTGAAGCTGTGATCAAGAACCTAAGCTGATCTTTGGACCTCTGAACCGCAAGTTCAATCAAACAGTTTTTATTACCTGTCCTTTAATTTATTAGCTTTGATTCTATCAAATATATATGAAAGGCCTTAACTGTATTAAAAATAATAGATCATACCCTATTCCCTCTCAATTATTTCGGAAATCCCATTAAGAGTTGAAATGACTTTGTCAAAGCATGTCCTCTACCCGCTCGACATGAGTTATCTGATGGCTCTGATCACACTAATTTTGCAACAGGCTATGAAGTAACCAAAACATCACAGGAAACCGCCAGCCAACTCTGTCCCAGAGTCAAAAGCCAATCCAGACCGAATACCGAATCAACAGAGACCGCAGAAGACCCTACTCCCGGCTCTTTGTTCCTCTGCTCCCTGCTCCCCTGCTCCCGAAATTCCCAGCCAGCCAGTCTAACCAGTGCCAAAGTCAAAGTCGGACTGCCAGTCAGTCTCTTTGGGCTCGGCGCAAGTCATCAACCGCACAGCACACAGCACATGGTCTGGACCCAGTTCCTGTCCTTCCCTGACCCCCACCACCAGTAAGACCACTCCACTCCATACACTTCAACCACTCCATCGCCACTGTCCCCTGGCCAAGTTACGTTGCATTTTTACATGCATGTTCAGCTCGGCTCAGCTCAGCTCGGTTCCCAACAACTCAAACTCAAACTGAAACTCAAACTCCAACTCCTACTGGTGCTGTTACTGGCACTGGGACTCTTCGCCGAGCTGCGTTTAAAAGCACCGACCCGGCTCCTAAACAAACCGAAACTACTAGCCAACGGCAGCAGGGAAACAAGTAAGACTGCTGATTTTCAGTTTACTGACTAGACAATATCCATTAGTAAGAGTCCGGGGACTTTTCCTTAAAAGAAACAGGTGAAAAGTGGAAGTTCTATTAAAATTGCTCTATTGCTAAGAAATTATTATAAAGATCTTAGGAAGACTCCTTGGTAAGGAAGTCTAATTCCTTGATATAAAATCTGATAAATATTTTAATAATTTAAGATGTATTATCAGATTATGCTTATTTACATCATAGAAAGATCTTAGAGCTCCAACCTATGTGAGTCAGAGTTAAGTTACTAATCTTAAGAGCTCAGTTTATACAAGAATCAATATACCCTTAAAGGTAAAGGGCATTCAAAACAAAAACAACAAGTTAGGGAAGGGCACTCCTTGGTTCGGGGTTCAGTGGAGCGTGCAAGTAAAAAAGAGCAGGAAGAAAATGCCACAGAATCAGCCAAAGAGCCATATAAAAATTAAAAAGAAACCAAAGGAAAAAATTTAATTTTGTGTGCCAGATCGGGACAGGGGAGGGACGTGGACGTGGACTTGGACTTGGTTGTGGTGTGTGTGTGCGAGTGCATTTCAAAGAATTTTGATAAACAACAAAACAAAAGCCATAGCAGAGCAGAGGAGAGGAGTGGACAGGACAGGGCCAAAAGATAAACTCCGTTTTGTGTATGTGAAACAAAGTCGAGAATTTTTCAACGCACAGTAACCGGTTTTCGGTTTCATTTTCCCCCCCCGGAAAGTCGAGAGTCCCGCGAACCGAAAACTTCTCGGAGCTGGAGCTGAATCCGAAGCTGACACCATGAGCGTGGTTAGGAAGCGGAAAAGGGGGTGACCGGTTGCACTGGGAAGTGCAACTAGATCAGGCCCAGATGTCTCCCATTCATGAAACTCCCTACGACCGCCCCAATTTCAATTGGCCAAAGCAAACACGCAAAGGCCAAGTTCTGCTGACTCCAGTTTGGCCCTTCTTTCCAGTGAATTGTGTGGCACAAGTGCAGTTGTGGAAATAAAAATGAAAAACAGAAGTAACTTAGAAGAAGAACGCGGCGCCATAATTGCCATGCAGCATGCATCAGAACTCCTCACAGCGCTCATTAGAATGCTAATTTGTAAATGCATCCAACTTCGAGCTGTGAACATTTGTGCCCTCGTAATTACCCCGTCGATTCCACGTTTTCCCTGGAAATAACGCAACACGAGTCCCACGAATGATGGCTAGCAGAATAGTGTTTAATGCCGCCCATTCCCGGGCAATGTAAACAGATTTTAATGGCAACCGAAATGAGATCACTTCCAGAATAGAATTCCAATAAAATAGGCAAAGGAGCTATAGCTGGCGCTCGGGCACCGAATTATTTCCTAGGAAAAATGCTTGGGCATTGAGAATAATTCAACTATAAGTACCCACGTTTATCTGTTAGATATTGTATCTATAAATACTTGTTTTGTTTTGCTTAGCGAGCAAGCGAGCAAGTCACTCTGCCAGATAACCAAAATAATTCATATTTTTAACATCTGCTGTCCCGTGCATATCGATTACGGCATCGCGCCGAATAATCAGCAAACTTCGAAGAGCCACTTGACTATTTATAGTTATCTGGCTAGCGATAGATTCCCCCTGCCCCCGTTCCAAGGCGACTTTCTTTTGGGCTTACTTTTCCATTAGGCGATAAATTCACTCATCCATAACCTCTCTTGAAAGGGTTAGTTAGGGGTCAGGGGTTAACCCCTTCTGAAATCGAGGCAACTTGAAAACTGATTTTCCATGTACCTACACACATTTTCACGCCCAACCTCCTAGGACGAAAAACCCGACCTCCGCCCCCCAGTGTTATCCTCTCTGACATGGGTTTCGGGCACTTTTACAAAGATTTACGACCGCTGTCAATAGAGCTTTGCATAACACAAACTTCCACTCGCACTTTGCAGAAACAAAGCAACGGCAACTGAAAAGTATTTTCAAATTTAAATCTATTTGTCACTTGCAAAACTTTAGCTACCTTTCCTCACTCGTTCGATGGTCACACAAAGGTCGGAATCGGAATTGGAATAGGACTCCGGTCCGAGGCAAGGCAACAAAAAAAGGTAGTAATGCAAAGTGGCAGTTACAAATTTGCTGAAATCAAATGCGGGATGAAACACAAAACAACGTCGGCCTGGGAGTGGCAAAAAATAAGAACGGATATATACAAGAGCAGAGCAACCGTAACGTTCCATTTAAATGAGTTGGATTGCCTACACTTAGGTGTTCTGTCCACCCCAGAACTCGGGCACTTGTTTTGCTTTTGGCCAACCTTCTTTGCCATCCGACCATCAAGCACTTTCCTCCATAATGCCCTTTTCAATCGTGCCCAAAACCCAACAGAGCTAAACACTCTATTCCGGAGAGACACTCTGTTCCGGTAGAGTATGGAGCCTGGAGTTACCCTGCTTATGTTTATAGTATTCCTACCAAACACTGGGTACTAAATGGAGCATCTAGATGGAACAATAAGAAACAGGAGGGGAAAAAAATGATTTGCATTTATTTATCTTGGTAGCTCCTCCGCCTTCTGTGTTTGAATTCGTTATTATTCTCGCACTCCAAGGAGGAGGAGGCTGAGGTGGTGGGTTGCCATTCCTTATTGTTTCTCCACACCATCGACTCGATTCTGCCCCATTCTGTGCCACTAAACATCTATGCGGCAATGATAAAAATAATCCCATTTATTGTTTAATGCTTAATAAATAAAGCAATTTTTATTTATTTGCAAGCATTTTCTTGTTGTTTGTGCTTCGGTTGCCTCTCCTGTTAAGCGTTTGTGCTTTTGCTTTTGCTTTCGTGCAATTGCGTTCTGTGTGCTTTATTGATTTTTATTCCTTTTGGAGATGGCGGCGGCCGAAGCCCTCTTCTGTGGTTGTTGTTATCGCAAGTAAAACGCCATCAATTGTTTATTGTTTTGATAATGCGTTCTGTTGTACTTTATTGTTTGTACTGCTGGGTGTCGTTGTTGTCGAGGGCTTTGCGTGCAATCGTGGGAGTCATCGATAAGGCCTTCATGTCGACGTAACAGTTAACAAAGCGATAGTTAATTGGGATCAAATTGAATGTGGATTGAACTAGAGAGTTGTGCGACGTCCACAGCAATTAATGTGAATATTAAAGAGGCATTCTCGAGTTCCATTGATCGCCTTTGTGATCACATATGTATACCTCTCAGACCCTATTGATCGGCTTTTGTAAAGTTCAAATCAAAAACCAGTTTAGTCGGCGCCATTTGGGTTTTGATTTCCGATTTGAATGAACTTGAATTCGAATTATGAACCGTATAAATAATAATAAAATATTTATTCTTTCAAGAGTTTGGGGAGCCCAAACAAGTTTATACAATTTATTTATAACTAAAATTGATTATAATCCATAAAGTATCCATCAGTTTTGTCTTTTATTTTATCGAGGTAAATAGGCTTAGGTTTATATTGAAAATTAAACCATTGATTGAGGGTTTTTGTGGCAAAAAGATCAAGTTAAGATAATTTAATTCATAATGAAGTGTCTTGTTTAACTTTAATTAAGTAAAGTCATTGAACAATATTCACACTCAATTTATTTTAAGTAATATTTTGAATACCTTCTTTGGGTGCATCTTAATTTTATACTTAATTCGTTAAAGGTGTTATAATATATGATGATATTTTTCTACTTCCGTTTCTAATAAGTCTATTCCCATTGTTTCTGCTTTATCCCATACTATAAGTCTGCTTTATAATAACTCTCATCTCCCATATATGTTAGGTCTCTTCGCCTTTCTAGTCGTTTGTTTACATCACTTAACCCTCTAACTTAGTGCAACTAGACTTAACTTAAATTTCCTGCAGCTTAAGCTCCGGGCTAAGATGCATCCTTGGTCCTTGTTTGCTTGGCATCCAATTGGCCCGCTTCAGGATAATGGTGTTCAAAGCCCCATTGGGCTCGCATCCGTTCCGATGCACGGTGCACTCCGCCTGCCTTCGTCCTTTCGTCCGTTCACGTGTTAAACAGGAAACCTGCTCGGGGTCTCCATCGTTCCGCCAGCTATCGCGACTCAGATCTACATATATGGCAGCATATACATATGGCGGAGGCTCTGGAGCTGCCCCTGGCTGCCGTGTATTCTGGCTTTCTGCCTGATTTGCCCAATTGTGCGGCACGGGAAACTGCACGGCGGGGCAAGGGCAGCAGCAGCATAATAAAATTGATTGCATTTTTCACGCTGCAAACTTGGCTTCCTTGGCGGAGCTCACGACCCAGTTATTCCACATGAGCCGCCGTCAAGAGCCCTTACATGCCGCCCCGAAAAA